ACTGATAAAGTAATTTCAACAGGAGGGAGGTGGGGAAGTGCTCTTTGCTAAAGTTTGATTTTCTGAATTCAAAGGGTGTGACAGATGTATTGTGTGAAGCTTGTGACCAGTTGGGATGGGCAAAGCCCACCAAGATCCAGATTGAAGCTATTCCTTTGGCTTTGCAAGGTAGGTTGAAATTTATGCAAGTTTGCATAGATTCACTATGAAGTTGCACCCCGTTAAATATGTGCCACTTTTAAGAGCTATTGATGGCGTGTTTCAAGTGAAATAAAGATATGGTCTCTATCTTGGCACGGTGGGACTACTCTTGTCATCCTAGCACTCAGAAGGCTGAGGCAGGAGGATAGCTGCAAGTTTGAGGTCAGCCTAATGTACTTAGTTCCAGCCCTGCTATAAGGCTACATACAAGGGAAGTGTGTGATGGTGCACGCCTGTAGTCCTAGCATTTGGGAGCTAGAAGCAGCACACCTTTACTCTAGCACTGGAGACGCAGAAGCAGGAGGATCTCTGAAAGAGTTTGAGGCCTGCTTGGTCTACATATCAAGTTCTAGGCTAGCCAGGGATAAATAATGAGACCCTGCCTCAAAGTAAAACAGACAAGGGGGGTGGAGAGATGGCTCAGTGGTTAAGAGCACTGGCTGCTGTTGCAGAGGACCCAGCACCCACCTGGGGGCTAACAATGGTCTGTAACTCCAGTTCCAGGAGATCCAATGCCCTCTTCATACCTCCTCCAGCATTGCATGACATGGGTGCACCTACCTACATGCAAGCAATACACTCATACACATAAAATAAAAAGAATAAATAAAAATTTAAAAAACCAAAAAAAAATTTCTAAAGAAATAAAATTTGGACTTATTAGTGTTAAAGAAAAAAAAAAAAAAAAGCCAGTCAGCCAGAACTAGTGTTGCAAGCTTAAGCTTATATCCCAGTTTTCTTAGGTAGGAGGATGTCAAGTTGAAGACCTGACTGGGAAATTTAAGATTGTGCCTCAAAATAAAATAATTAAGCTAGATGTGATGGTATATGCCCTTAATCCCAGCACTCAGGAGGCAGAGGTAGGGGGAGTTCTGTGAGATTGAGGCTAACCTGGTCTATATAGTGAGTTCTAGGCCACCTGGAACAGCAGGGAAGCCCTGTCTCAAAAAAAAAAAAACAAAAAAACAAAAACAAAAACAAAAAACCAAGGAGCTAGAGAGATGGCTCAGTGGTTAAGAACACCAACTGTTCTTGCAGAAGACCCAGGTTCGAATCCCAGCACCCACATGGCAGCTAACAACTGTCCATAACTTCAGTTCTAGGGGATCTGACAGCCTCTTCTGTCCTCTGCGGCCATTGCACAACACGGGTGCACTTACTTACATGGAGGCATAACACTCATACACATGAAATAAAAATAATAAATATAAAAAACAAACAAACAAAACCCCCCCACAAATAAACACTCCTGGTTCTAGAGAAAGAATAATGTTTTGCCCTAATCAGCACATATCTAGAATACAATACTGCTTAGGTCTGGAGACATAGTTTTCAAGGACTAACTGAAGGACAGTGAGTGTGGTACAATGTCAAGAATAGTGAAAGGAACTGAGTGAGTTTGGTTTTGAGAACAGTGAGGAACGGGGCTCTGATAATCTTGGCTTTATGAATGGTTTGAAGAGCTGCCATTTACCCTGCATAATTCCATAATTCCCATAAATAGCTACTACAGAGTATTTGATATGACCTCTAGGCCCTTTTCAAGAATTTATGACTAAAAGGAAATAATTATATTTATTAAGGGTGATTAGAAATGTAAATTTTGTAGTCAAGATATCCTGAGGGAGTAGTCCATTCTTACTGGGATGGATTAGTTACGAGATTTTTTTCTTTGTATTTTTTGGCTGAGGAGGTTGAGAAGACCTTTGAGCTCAGCCCTGAAAACTGAACTTAGAAGCAATTCGATATGAATGAAGACTTTCTAGTCCTAGGGAACAGTAAGGAGAAAAAGATAAGTGGGTAGAAAACACGAGCATGGGTGGAGATTTGCAAACACTTAACAGAGATTAGTGGGAGGGTTTGGTAAGTTGACAGCAGACAGATTATGAAGGCCTTGGACACTGGGGAAAGGGATTTGATCTGTCTTTGATAGGCAGTGGAGTGTCTTTGGAGATTACTGTTTAGCAGGTGAATGAAATCCTTAGTGTTGTATTCTTGAAAGATTAGTTTTACAGCTATGTAGTTTCATCTAGAAACAAATTGGAAGCTGGGGAAATAATAGGTTATTGTGAGAATTTGGGCAATAAATATGGGTAGGGTAATGATAATGAGAATAAAAAAGAAGAAAGAAAAAGGTTATGGTGGCACTCTTGTACCCCAGCACTTAGGAAGCAGGGGAATCAGGAGATCAGGGTCATCCCCTGCTATGTAGTGAGTTTGAGGCCGACTTGGGCTGCATGAGACCCTGTCTCAAAAGAGCAGCAGAAGAAAAAAAAGTAAAGGAAAAAAAATTTACAGCTAATTTAGGGAAATAGGATGCAAAGGCTGAGCAAATCTAAAATTATTAAAAAGTGTTTTATCAATGGGTTTAGGGTATATTTGTACCACTGATGTAAAAGGGGAACACAGAAGGAAAAACTTGAGT